TAACCAAGGCAGTGTCACGCTGTATTATATTCATACACAACAAACACAGAACAGAGGTTGATGAGGGTGCAGACAAGTACAAAGGACCAACACCTCCCAATACCGGACTATTAACCATTCAAGCTGATATTAAAATATTCACTAAGTTAACAAAGTGACAGTACTTAAATGGCCTGTCAGTAAGAAATTTGTGACATAAGAACTGTCAAGTGTTTCCCACTTTCAGTCACTGAAATTGTGCTCATTTCAACAGCAACTTGCTCACCAACTCGTCTTGTGCACCACTTGCAATATCTGCTTCACTTTCCTTCTTCAACTACAGCGCCCCTTTCATCATCAGTATGTACTTCACACCCACTGTCACAAATTCTAATGTTTCTGTTAAAACTTTCACTTTCTTTCCAAATTCAGACCTCACAAAAGGTTAGGATACACCATACATGCAACAGATGGAAGAAATAGAGAGTATAATGTTTCAAGGTCGCATGGTCCAAATAGTACGATAAAAATTCCAACAGATAGTGCAGCAATGACAATTTGACTTGTTGCCTGCAAACCGCGAGTACATACTCAGGATACCGCTAATAACGGAGGCTTCTAGCTGCAAGTAAACTATTGGGCTACCAGCTTGAAGGGTTACGTCATGAAACTAGTCATATCAAATGGAAAGGAACGCATAAAATTAATATCCCAAATTACAGCAACAAAACTGCACGCATGTTATACATTACAAACATTTCAGTAAGCAACAAAACAAATTATAGAAACAAAATATTAACATTTTAAAGTTTCTACCACATTGCAACTTACCTTTTTGTCCCATTGTTGATGGAGATATCTGAGTAGAATATTAGTCTTCTCTGTCACTATTACTGAAAAAAGGAGATACGCACATGCATAAAATTAGGATTTGTTTTCTAATTACATCCTACATTAAACAAACTAGCATTTTACTATATTAAAAATGTATTAATTTCAAACAACAAACTGCCATTTATAGAGAAACTTGTTAGACATTTCATGTTCACAACAGCAGGGAAGAGAAACATATTCCACAGTGTACATGGAACCACAGTTTGATGTTGCGTTAATCAAAGAATGAGTTTTATAAAAGAATAAAATCTAAAATATGGCTGTGTACTGTGATGTTTCACTGTGTAACATGGTAAATACTGACAAAACATTTCAGAGGACCTTATGACCTCCATCATCAGAGCGATGGTCTCACTTCGATCATGGAGGCAGTAAGCACCTTTGAAACACTGGTCAATATCTACCAGAGCACGTGGTGCATCATTCCAGAAGACAACCATCTTTATACTCATTGCCAACCTAAAATCTCACCTAAATGTGTCTAGTACGCAAAATGTTTAAAACTTTGCTGTATAAGAAATTAAGGTTTCATCAACTAAATCAATGACCACATGCACGCCAGTTCACCCTGGTCCGCGTTAAAAATCCTACTTCCTTAATATCTATTTTCACACCATCATCTTACATCATCTTGACCTTCGAAGTAATCACCGCTCCGCTTTATTTCTGTAACATTTTGTATTCCTAATTTTACCCATACTTGGCCTTTAGAGTCCAATATTTCTGTTTTGGCAAGTCTCTCAGGCTAAACACACAAAAGACCAGTCATTATTCTGAATAAATACATTTGTTATAAAAATTGATATTGTAGGGTCTTTAATCTTTATAGTATTGAAACAGGGGACTTAGATCTCTTTATCAATTGTCAACCACTCAGACTTTGACTCCGGGTTAACAGTTTAGTGATATGCTAGCACGTTGCACAGCCAATTGGACCATTCTTAGGATGTGATGCACAGCTGATAAAGGTTATTAAACCATATAAATAAAAGCAAATCTTCATACTGAGCTGTTAACACAGACTATTACTTTACATAAAGACTAAAACACAATTTTAGATTTTGAACAATGTTCCAGGTAAAAGCTGTAGTCCCTAACGAGAGTAATTTATTATGTACATTTACATCGCACAGAGTACTGTTATTCAAAACTATTAAATATCAAAGCAAACTTCATCACAAAATATAAAATGTGTTTAACCATTTGAAGCTAAAGCTCTTTCAAACAATATTTAAGAAGACAGTCAGCACCACTCACTCACCCAAAATTCTTTGAAAAGTCAATTGTACACTTGGCTTGTCAAAGAACACCCCATTTTCTTTATGGAACCCGATGATTCATCACCGTGTTCACAAACTCCACCACCACAATCTATCCTGAGTTAGGCATATCCAGTTCACTCCACCAATTCCTATCTCCCTGAGGTCCATCTGAATGTTATCCTCCCATCTATGCCCAGGTCTTTGAGCAACCTTCTTCCTTCCTTCCCACCCAATAACTTGTAAACTTTCCCTCCTATGCATGCTGCATGTCCATTCCACCTCATCCTCCTTGATTTAATTACCCCGACAATATCAGGTGAGGAGTACAGGCCATGATGGTCGTCATTATGCAGTTTTCTCTGCAAACCCTCATCCTCCCTTTTATGTCCAAATATCTTCCTCAACACTCTGTTCTCAAATACCCACAATCTATGTTCCTTCCTCAAAGTCAGAGACCAAGTTTCGCACCCAAACAGCACAAATGGCAAAAGTACACCTTTGTACATTTTAATCTTTAGATTCTTGATGTGAGACAGGAGGACAAAAGATTTTGAACTGAATAATATCAAGCATTCCCTGAATTTAAACTGCTCTTGATTTTGTCATAAATGTCATCCTGACTTGTTGGTGTCATCCCCAAGCACTCGAATTCTGTCACGTTTTTGAACAATTCATTAGCTAACCTTATATTCTGGTTCTGTCCTGAATTCTCATGCCGAGACATGATCATATACGTTGTCTTTTCTGCATTTATTTCTAGATCAACATCCCTATTAGCCCTTAAAAGAGTGTTTCTGTATTTGCTTTTATAATATTTATATTATCTCGCAATAGATTAACATCATCAGCACAGAACAGAACCTGATGTGCCCCATTCAATTCCAAACCGTCCTGATTTTCTCGGACTTTCCTGATGGCATATTCTGAGGCAAAATTGAAAAACCACGGCGATAGAGCACCTCCCTATTTGAGGCCAATCTAAATAGGAAATGTATGGGACATTTGTTTACCTACCCAAATTTTGCTAGAGGTTTCACTTAAACACTTTTTAATTAGCCTGAGAAGATTCTTCTTCTTCTTTTGTAATCAATCCTAGGATTGAATGGCAGCAGCTTGAGCTGCAGATACTTGGGAAATCCTGAGGATCTTTAATGCAGTGAATTCCCCTTGCCTTCCACATCCTATGCCATTGACTCATCCGGGTTCATCCGCCTTTAGGGGTGATTTCTCACCCCAAGGGCATGAGGGTGCCCTGAACCTCCACCCGCTCATCCACCCTCTGAAGAAGCTGTTGGCACTCGGTAGAGGGGGACCACTTACACCGGTGGTCACTCAGTCTGTGGACGCAGTTTAGCGTCATGCCTGGGATGACAAGATTCTTAGGTACACCAAATTCAAGCAAAATATTGTAAAGAGATTCTCTTTTAACTGAGTCAGGCTTTCTTGAAGTCTATAAACAGTTGATGGACTGTCCCATTGTATGCCCAATTTTTCTCTAGTATGTGGCAAATGTAGAAAATTTGATCAATTGTAGATCTATTATGATGGAACCCACATCGATGATCCCTAAAAATTTCACTGGCATATGGAGTCAACCTCACCAGAAGAACGTTGGATAAAATTTTGTAGGCACATGATAAGAGGGAAATTACATTAATTTCAATGTATAAGTATGTATACACATAGGGTCCTTCTAAAAAGATGTTCCAGTGTTTATTTACTAAAGTATATGACCAATATCATACATGATTTCATTAATCAGAGCTGTATGCTGTTCCTACTGCCAACACCATGAGGGTATACAACAAAACTGCATCTCCATTTTAAAGAAAAATTTTAAGAGTCCACTGGTTTTATTCAAACCTGAATTCTTGATAAAATTTGAGTGCAGGAAAGTTCCACACAGGTTTGCAGTAAACAGACTGTAGATAAGTTTGAAATGACTGAGACCATGTTTTAACAATAAGATACTGAAAAATGCAGTATTAGTTCCAGACCATGTTTTAACAAGATACTGAAAAATGCAGTATTAGTTCGAAAAGTATTGCTGTACAGTCCCAGAATGTCTGTAAGATGTGATTTCTCAACAACGTAACTTAAGAAAATCAACACAACTTCAAGCACTGGGGAAACTTCCCCATTATTTGTAATAAAAATAAAGAAAATTTTTAAAAATATTAAACTGGTAACTTTCAAGTCTTACCTAGTGATAGAATCTTCTTAAAATCTCATCAAAGTTTCTATGTAGTGTTAACTACGACAAGAAAAACAGCAATAAGCTAGTTTTCAGGTTACCATGGCAACTGTTATAATGGTCAGTCATGCACAGCCACACAGACAATCATAATTTTGTATCTTATTATATATTTATGTTAACAAAACTACCCAAAATCTGTCTAAACTAGTTTGTTCCAGGCAGAACTTCATCACCATTATGCAACATGAAACACAAAAAGACACAATGAGATAAATGCTAAAACAAACACACACACACACACAAAGAGTACTGTCTGAAAAGATGTGAAATTGTCTAAATACAAAATTAAAATGTAGGGGTCCCTTGGTGAGGGCTATAAACGCAAGAACTGACTTGTGAGGTCCATTTCTGCGCTTTTAGTTCTGTAAATTACGTGTGGTTTATAGACAATGCTAATTTTCTACTGAATGGTTATGTTAAGATGCAAAATATGTGTGCATCTTATCACCCCTAAGATGGAGGCAGCAAACATCCCTGAAATGTCAGTAAACTTCTACCAGACTACATGGTATAATATCCCAGAAGATACGAAGATTGCCGTCTTCTGGGTTGTTGTGCCGTGGGGTCTGGTAGAAGTTTATCGACATTACAGGGGTCCTTGCAGCAGACTACATGGCACAACAACCCAGAAGACGGCAATCTTCATAACTGCTGATATGATGTGAGAACCTGAAATCTCATTCTAACAGAGGGTTCTTAGAATATTCTCTTTGAAACTTTATAGCTGAGTGGCAAATATTAACATTTCAACAACATGACTATGATCAGCATCAGGAAATACACTCTGGCTGCAGTATTGAAAAATTTCTTAATTCAACTACCAACTGTTATAGACACTGACAGTACACATATTGAAAATATTTTCAGTCAACTTTCATTCTTCCAAGACAAATGTCTTCAGTAACACCAACACAATCATTGTGTTCTTTGTGTATATTAGTAAATATGCAAACACAATTGAAAGTGGAGTACCTTTCTCGAAAGATCCTGTATATAAATTGAACGCAGATGCTCGGTCCTCAATGAGAATAATCAAGAACTCTGAGTTAAATCCTTTACTGCACTTGAAAATAAAGTCATTTGTGTGGTTTATAAAACAGTGGTTTAAGTACACTGTAAAATATATTTCTCCAAAATAATACTGCAATATCCAAATTTATAATTGTTACAAACTTTGTTCTGATGGGTATTCCTTTGTTGGAAGGTAAACAGACGGTCGCTTGACGCAAGTCCGGCTTCCGCTGTCGGTATGAAATCGGGCGAAGTTATTTTCATTATAGGAAGGTAGCCCCTTCAGAAACTCTGCTACTGACTGTAAAGTAAAATGATTAAGAAATACAATCATAATTAAACCATAGGAAATACACCTTTTTATTTGTCAGAAACTTCCATCTTGGAGACTTCTGCATTTTAAAAAATACTTTGACTGAAATATTCCTAAACTCTCCATTTTAGACTAATACAGCAAAAAAAGCATATGAATAAACAATCACAACATAACACAAAAATTCTATAACAAACTACACATTTACCTCAACTTAAGAGCTCAAAGTTAGTTGATTATAAAGGTGAATTAATGACAAGAATATGAAGCACTAAATTCATTACAAAGTTACAATTAAATTTATAATTAGAGAGTTAAAGTTATGAAATTTATTGATGAATAATGCGCTAAAGACGCATAAATTGTACACACCACAAGGAAAAATACTGATGTATACAGTGAGACAGGGAATCTACTGGAGAGGAAAACAGATGTTGGTCAAGATTTCTGTCCTCTGGGTTGTTGCGCTGTGTACTCTGGTCGATGTTAAAAAATGTTTCACATTCTAGCACCTATAAACCTAGCCCCACACACCCTATTGGCATATCCATCACCCTGATGATGGAGGCAGTATGACCTCTGAAACGTTGGTAAACATCGACCAGACTACACAGCGCAACAACCCAGAAGACAGAAATCTTCATCGCCCTGATGACGGAGGCAGTATGACCCCTGAAACGTTGGTTAACATCGACCAGACTACACAGCGCAACAACCCAGAAGACAGAAATCTTCATACTCACCACTTTGAAAACCTCATATCTTATACAGATGTTGGTCAGCTGAGGTTCTTAGCCTAGTATCATGTGTAACACTGAAGAATACTAGAATTCCTTTAAATACTTCTCAAATCCTTAAATACGATTTTTCTTGGCAGTGCAAGAGGCACAGGGCAGCTCATCTCACTTACAAAATGTAAAATATTATTTTTGAGACAGTCAATGCAATACAAAATTACCTTCTTTGGGAAAGTTTCATGAGACTCATCTACTTTTAATTTCTTTGAGAAATTACAACATACAGCTAAAACTTTTCTGTTGAACAAGACACTTAATCTCGATATTTTACAGCAATCAGTCCAGAGTCCTGGGAGTCCCTGCTTCTTAAAGAGTACAAGCTCGGGTGGGCCTCTGTGCTAGTATGGACGTGGTGACAAAGAAAATAATCCCTGTCCCTACCAGGAATGGAAACTTGCATCATTCAGCTCTGACCCAGTCACAGTATACACCCAATTTTTCAGATTCACTGGTAAATATATTTTCCTGGATAATCAAAACCCCAGACAACCCACAAAATGAAATAACAACACACAAATATAACAAAAACGTAAGTTTATTTACAGACATATACTACTTATATTCTTAATGATTTAGTAATAACATAAAGATACTTCTGAATTAATTTTTAATTGTTGTTCAAACCAGTTAATATGCCCCCAGATAATCGAGAGTCTACTGTACTTTACTCAGCTATCATGCTTTACCTTAAGACCTCAAATAACCCTGTTATTATATTGTACCTTCTTCAATTGAAGGCAATCATATTCACCACAGAAAGAAATATGGCATATAAAGAGCAAAACACTGACGCAGAGAATTCTTTTCAACACTCAAAGTCTGAAAACCAAATGAGGTCCAAAAATATTCTTACTACTTCAGAGGTAAATCCATTTTTATATTGCGTATACATGTCGGTTACGCCAATTTTTTAAGATAATGTTTATTTTTTTCCAAGGTCACCTACTGTCTGGATTATCCAACCTGGCACTGAACCACACCCAAACAAACCTGTTAGCAAAAATGACTGGTAACTATGCACGTTCAGCAGTTATTACCATGTGAGGCTTCTAACTGTGAGACAACTGGTTTATATATTGGTAAAGTATAGTCCTTCAGGTGAATTTTGAGATACTATCTTAAAACAAGCCATGACTATCTCCATACAAATGCTATCCTACTCTTACCATGGTACACACAAGAAGTAATGTTTATTCAAGACTGAAGCTATACAGTGTTTCAAATAAGCAATAGAAGAAATGTATCCTGCTTTGTCTTAAGTTAAGGCTAACTTGTTGATTTTCAATACAAATCTCAGTCGGTATAGTGACTGGCTACGGACTGGGCGACCGGGGTTCGATCCCCAACAGGGGCAGAGGATTCTTTCCTCTACCCTCTGCGTCCAGACCGACTCTGGGGCCCACCCAGCCTCCTATCCAATGGGTACCGGGGTCCTTTCCCGGGGGTTAAGCATGGCCGGGGTGTGATGCTGACCACTCACCCCTATCTAGTGCCAAGGTCAAGAATGAGTAGGAGCTATACCTCCACTCCCCCCCCAAGCGTCTACATGGCATATAGTGGGACAGTTTTACTTTACTTACATTTATCAAAGGAATACATAAAGAGAAGTTTTTTTAACAGAAAACAACATCAAAATGACTAATCATCATCTGTACATCTCAATCATCAGTGTATAAACTGCAACTAAAACATGGTTACTAAATAACCTATGAACCAATAATTTATAATGTTGAACAACCACAACTACCTTCTACTGTTGATCAAATGTTAAAACACTGATGTCATTACAGCATACGATAAAAATATTGTTATTACTTAACATATTCACACATGATTATGTTTCAAGTGAAGATAATGAATCTTCACTTTAAAAAGCATTGGCTACTGTCCCTAAATGCTACAATTCTAAGAACTACCCCTCCAAAATAATGGTTTCCTCAGTTGGTTGAATGAGTTTAAAATAAATAATGTAAAGAAATAATGTAAGTAATAAACTAATAATGTAAATGGAATTCCTAACCTCAATCCCTTTTGCATCCTAGGATTCAAGGCTATTTTGTTCAATACAGAACATTCAGAGCAGTTCTTCCATTTCAGAATAATGTTACTTCTTATAAAAATGTTCATTTTCAAAGGTGATTCTGATCACTTGCATGCACAGGCAAACTAAAAACCGAACAACTGAATCCTTAAAACTGCAATATATTAGAGATAAATACAAGATTAATAATGAAGATTTCTGTCTTCTGGGTTGTTGCGCTGTGTAGTCTGGTCGATGTTACCCAACATTTCAGAGGTCTTACTGCCTCCGTCATCAGGGCCCTGGTTAACATCGACCAGACTACAAAGCGCAACAACCCAGAAGACAGAAATCTTCATACTCATCGCCCTGATGAAGGAGGCAGTATGACCTCCGAAACGTTGGTAAATATCGACCAGACTACACGGCGCAACAACCCAGAAGACAGAAATCTTCATACTCACTACTGTGAAAACCTCAAATCTTACAAGATTAATAATGATTCCCTGTTTGTAATCAGAAATAATATGAATAGAATTTTGTTTTTAAAATCCATCAAACAAACTGTTTAACAGTGCAACTAACAGATACAAAACATATTACAATCCAACTGCTCGTAAGCATAAGGACAAAGCAAGAATAAATAAATTATTAAAAAAATAAGGAGAGGGCAATTAATTAATGACCCTAGCACCATCACACTCCAAGATTATATATCTTGCATCCCCTTCTGAAGACAAAGAAGCAATTTTGAACCTTTTGATTAATTTCATACCACACTGACTCCTTCAAGCTGGGAAATCATAGAAATATTAAGATGGCTGCCTTTTGAGATGCTGCACCATGTAGCCTGATAGAAGTTTATTTCAACGATGTTTGCTGCCTCCATGAGTATGCCGCATGTGAGGAACTGATCTGAGATATGGAAAACCAGCAAAGTAGGGAAGAGGGTGAGGCAAGGACGCCAATAAATAGGTGGGAGGAATGGGTGTACTCAGACATGTAAAGAAGGGAGAAAAGAAAACAACCCTTATCAGGTTCCACCAAGGAACCAACGCGGAAATCACTGAACACACAGAGTTGAGGATAAAAGGAGAAGCAAAAGATGGAGGGAAGGGAGGATATAAAATACAGAAAGAAGGAAATAGGACAAATAATAAGGAAAAGGAGGAGACGAGAGAAAAATGTGGACCAAATAACACTGAGTCAGGAAGATGGGAGAGAAAAGAGGGAACTAGTCAGGGCCAGGAAAGGACGCGGGCTTGACCAGTAGCAGGGTTAGGACAAACATTCCTTCTGTCCTAGACCTTCATATATCCTTTGGGGGGGACTGATGACCAGCTAAAGTAGAAGCTATCCTACCTGTTCATGTTGTTTCAATGTAACTCAAATACAATGGCCTTCCTGACCATCCAGTCCATGTACCTGGACTTGATGAAGAGGATGGTACTGTCCTGGAATTGGGCATGGTAACCCACTGCTTTGGCCGAAGTTCTACCTTGTCTAAAAAGTTTCCGTGTCTCAAAGCAATTTATTACATCCAAACTTTTAAATATCAGTAAACTTACACCAGGCAACATGATGCAGTGTCCCTGAAAATAGCTATCTTCATACTTGCTGCCATGAGGACATGTATCTAAAGATACAAATACTTTCAAATGTTTGTCGCTGGCCATATATATCTCACCAATTCATTTGAGTGTATAAGTTACAGCCTGGGATATCCCAGCTTAAGTAATGTGCTAGTCTGCATTAGAACAGGATATCCAGGGATGAACAGGGATAAACAGTCTAAAGAAAAAATCAACCAACTTGTATAAAGATAAACTAAAAATACCCATAAAATATCATACTACCTACCCTTCAAAATTAGAAATATCTATGCTTTAATATTATTGCAGAGAATAATAGGTGGGTGATACGGAGGAAGGGAAAGTAAGACATAATAAACGCAATGTCGACAAGAAAAAAGAACTGCATCACAAAAATAGCACAACTAATTTATACGCTATAAAATGTTTGATCTATAACAAAGTTATTAATTTGTGGAAAGCATGACAGGGAATGACAATGTTATTTTGGATAGAAAGAAATCTGCTGAACTGTAAAACATTCACTCAAAAATACCAAGATACAACTTTTGGGGTTAATGATTATCAACCTCTGACCACAGAATGTTTCATAACATTGAAAATACCAAATTAAATTATCACTTTCTGATTTGAAGTCAAATATATGAACTACTGTTACAAATTGTTTCAATAACCACAATATGATGCAATTAAGCATCCTTGTTCAAGCTATTCATCAAATTACAATTTTGGCAGCCTGCACAATTTGTGTCTACAAGCAGCTGTTAGTATCTCGTGAGCAGACAGGTGGACAAAAACATATTAGGGTAGCAAAGTTCAAATATTTGGGAACAGCAATAACAAATCAAAATGATATTCACGAGGAAACTAGGAGGAGACTAAATTCTTCAAATGCTTGCTACTTTCCGGTTAAAAGATTTTAACTTCCCATCTGATTTCTCTGAACCTGAAGATTAAAATATACAAAAAAGTATTTTGCCTGTTACTTTATATGGGTGCAAAACATGGTCTCTCACCATGAGGGAGGAACATAGATTGCAGGTGTTTGAGAATAGGGTGTTGAGGAGGATATTTGGGCCTAGGAAAGAAGACAATGGGACATGGAGAAAACTGCATAATGATGAGCTTAAAAATTTGTATTCCTCCCCTTGTAATGTCAGGGTGATTAAGTCAAGAAGAATGAGATGGGCAGGGCATGTGGCTTGCATTAATGGGTAAAGAGGTGAGCACCAGGTATGGGTCAGGAAGCCTGACGAGAAGAGACCACTGGGGAGACTTAGATGTACATAGCAAGATAATATTAAGCAGGATCTATGGGAGATAATAGTTGAAGGTGATTGGATTTTGCTGGCCCAGGACAGGGACCAGTGTTGCGCTTTGGTTAATTCGGTGATGAACATTCAGATTCCCTAAGCCATCTAGTGCTATATAACAGGCTATTGGAAGCAAACGAATTTCTTATATTCTCATGTGCATTACTAAATGTAACTTCGTAAACAGTATAAGAAAATGATTTTATAAATTCCGTCAATTAACTGCAAGAAAACAATACACACGAAAACAATTATTCATCTTTTATTTCGTATATATTGTCATTAAAAAATAAATTTAACACTCCTATTCTTTCTTGGAGTAGTGAACTCGATTTATGGTTAATATGTGGCTGATCTCGGGTGTAATTATATAATACTATTCCCTTAATATTCGATAATACAAAGTATACATATTACAAGTATAATACGCAGGATGTCTGAAACCTTGAGATATGGCATCTTCGCGATAATACAAAGTATACTTATTACAAGTATAATACGCAGGACGTCTGAAACCTTGAGATATGGCATCTTCACAATAAAGTTAGAGAAAAGTACATGTAATAACAGCATTCGACAGAAGATTAATTTCACATGCAAGTTAAAATATCTTCCATTAAAAACACGTAACACCTAAAACATCAATTTGTTCCCAACATGTATGGCGAAGCAGCGCGTTGTAAAGCAACTGATGGCCATGTTAAAATGCCATACATTAGGCAATGATACATCAATTGAAACACATTGTGTTAATACCTGAAACCATTATATCGGCTAAGAAAACAGTGTAAGAAAATAAGATGCATCTAAACTCTCTTCGTTATATGGAAATTAAATGTTCAACAAATTTTTAGAACAACAGTGGGAGAGGTCAAACCTACGTCTGACATTACGTCATCTTTACAATTTATTCCACGTTACAGTCGGTGCACCAGTCCAACACATGGTGAAGTGTAAATCTTACTGGTCACTGCTCCTTCCCAGCCCGTCCAAAATTATAATATAAATAAGATAGACGTCTTACCATTTCACACGAGGCAGCGAAACGTCACTCACGCTCAACACATACAAACTACGACCAGAGAGCAGCACGTGTCCAACACATGGCAATATGTCTACACTTTTTATTAGTTTATGTTACATACAGAGTTTATGTTAATGAACTCAGACTTATTCCATTCATTTAAAAGTAGGCAAGTCAGGAGAAAGGTATGTGGAATAATAGTCGCATTTATATACTTCGTGCATAATTGACTTCAACCGTTCGTAACCGGTTCTACGTTACCAATTCATCACTATTAGAATTAGAAAACGAATCGAATTTGTGTAAGATTATGCGCACACCGTACATTACCATCGTTCTTCAAAACATGTGAATACTAGGTTAGTTTATCAATAGATATGCTGCATGTAACAAAGGCCCACATTCCCTTAGCAGTATAACGTCTGGTATTTTAACATTTATTTTTGAATTTTCATTAAAACTTTTCACAACACCTTAAATGTAATTTTCAGGCATGTACTTACTTTCTTTATATTAAGATTTGTAGATACATTACGAGCTCCTGCCATCTGTTGATTATTTACAGAGTGCATTTGTCGACAGATAAATGACTCACTATTCCCATAGACTGTAAACTGCACCTTTTTCTCAGATAGTAGGTGATATGTGGTTCTCACGTCTTAATTCAAAACCAACTTCGTGGTAATTAACCAAAGCACAAGACTACTGAAACCCCTGGATGAATTTGCATGACGTTATTGTTGAGTATTATTTTTCCGTTAGAATGGCGTTTTGATGTAATTGCAGAATTTGCCGATAGATGTCTATAGATATAATATCAACATTTCGAACCTTTTCGATAAACAATTTTTCCAACAAAAGCGAAAGTGTTACACGTTAGTTTTGAAGACTTTTATGTTCTCACGGCGGTGAACATGATTTGCAGTGTTGCGCCGATTAGTCTGATGGAGGATACCTTTGCCTAGTTCTGCTTCTCTAAGGCGAATTCCATAAAAATTCTGTTTGTTTTATACTCCTGTATACTCATTATTCAAAGATGCTCCTTTCCAAGGTTTTCCCATTTACATTTTCTGCTAATGTATTTTTTTCACTTTACAATCAACATTTCCAACCAAAGACGTATTATTGGCAACAGAATTGTTACCATAAACCCCTTTTACTTACCATTGCGTTAATTCTGCAACCTTTTATTCGATTCAATAAATGCACTAATCGAATCTCAAGTTACAGCTTTCCTTTGTAGGAAACAAGATATGCAGCCGCTTCTTCATTGGTTCCAACGAGAGAGGGCTGGTCTTAGCGACATCTTTCGTTTGTAACATGTATTTCGTGTGTACGTCCTTCAAGTAACTAGACAGATACGCATAGGTGTCGCGAGTGTTTGTTGTCGAAAACAGCTGTCTAAGCGTATCTTGTCGTGACGTCATACGCCGTTTAATAAAAGTATCGATTCAAAATTATAACCAGCAATATAATAAAGCTGATAGTTAATTTAAAAACTCAATACTAAACACGATTAAAATGCAATGTATCAAATTTCTCATATAAATTGTGTTTGTCAAAGAGAAGTGCCTGGACATCACCAAATTTATTTGGCAACTTGGGAAATTAGACTATTATTTAGGGTACAGTGTTTTCTACAAATGAATTACTTTCTTTTATTATTGAGTGTTCTGTCTGACGACAGGTCCATTGCTCTGCCCAAAAAGAGCTCGCCAGTTTTCCCTATTCTCAGCTTCTCGTTTTAACTCCTGAAACTTCACCTTCTTTCCTTGTTTAAGATTTTGAATTACTTTAATAACATAAAAACAAACTGTTCTGTGCATTTTATAATGTGTCTAACTTCTGTGCAAATGAATTTTAACCTAAAATATTATAACAGGTGCAACAACGCAGATGATCATCTAATTACGGAATAAATATGGTACAGTGATAAAATATAAACACTGATAGGAACTCCCTCAGCAGATATATTTATGCTTTTGTCACCCCCCACACTTAATTATACCTCTTGTTATATAATTGCAAATGTGACACCACTGTTTACACCCAATCCTTCATTTACACAAGCAAGTAAAAAAAAATTATCAATTCTTACACATGACAGTTTCCAAAATATATAAATTAGGCAGACTTGGCATTACATAAATAAAAATGAATACCCTTGTAAGCAGTTTTGCTAGACTTTAACATTCTACCTACCTTCTTCTTGAACCAAGGAATGTGGCTAATGATGCTAGAGGGTCATTGTTCATTATACATACTGTATTGATAGAAACATACGTGCTATCAGAATTTTTACTACTTGAGACATGGCAAAGTACTTCTTGCGTTCTATATTATATGTCATCATGTCATACAGAATGAGACCAAGGCCTTTCAAATACAATAAGGCATAACTTTTGTTTTCTCCTTTCTATTTCATCCCATATCCATGAGACATATTTTCTAACTTCTTGTTTCCATTTTGATATTTTCACTTAATGTTCATGTTTGAAACTTTCTATGGATTTCTTCCTATTTTCATTCATAAAACACGTCCATACCATCTTATTCTATTATCTGTTAATAAGCCTTTGAAGGTATCTGTTTACCATTATATTCTCTCAAATATAATCATTTCTTACAGTCTGCCGTTTGGTTCTTCCTACTCCTTAAAAATCTAAATTCTGCCGGCATTAGTCTGCTGCTATCTGCTTTGGTCCATGTCCAAATTTCTGTTCCATAAGTTAATGTGGGCATGTACTACATTTTAAATAGGCATATTTTTCCCTTCTTTCTACAGAAATATAATTTTTAGCCTGTTTTATGATGGACAGGCTTACTGTGTCATATGTTCATCTTACCATCCCCTACATTAAAATTTAAACAATTCTAGGATTTTCATTAAACTTTGTGAATCTATAAACATGCCAATATGAGGTGAAATCAGCACAAGCATAACTTAATGCAGAGCCACGAAATCTTATGTAGAAATAACATTTACAAAATATTAAATGAGACTATAATCATACCAATAAGTTTTACATTAAACATTTCATGTGTCAACAATTAGAAATGGGGAGCATTATATATGTTCAAAGTATATATGGATAATTTAACATGTCTGAAATTTTTACTTGTGGAAATTGCTATAAAAATTAATCACTAGAACTTGCAACTATTAATGTATAGTTCCTGAAGCCACAATGATAAATTAGGCCAGGATCCCATCCTTTTTCATCCTTTCCGATTCATTATTCATTATCATAATCTCATTCAGTGCCATAAAGTCTTAGTTACTGGGAGAGTTGTTAATTATACTGTAAACAAAAATACTACAGAAGTTACTAAGCTCAGATACATACTCCAAAGGTTTGCCTTTCTTTTTACCCTCAAGAATATAACTTAAATCTTTCACAACATGTTGCATTTCAGTATATTAATAAATAAAAACACTCCCAAAGATAAAAGTGACTTACATCCACACGTGGTTTAGTGCTAGTACTGCTGGTAGACAAACACCAGTGCTCTAATGGTGTCAAACTGTATTTTAATAAAGAACTATCTTAAAGAAGAAGACAAATACAGAGGAAATAATTCCATTCTTATTGCCTAATGCATAAGTTCTGAAACTATAAAACCAGTACCCCTTGTGGTATCGCGAGATGCTTTCCAGGATACCATAAATTCTCATTCATTTGACTTCATCAGTAATACTAGGCAAAAACGTCTGACAACACCTGTGGCATTAAAATCTGTACCAGTTACACCCTAAATATGTTACAAATGTGGTTAGGCCTGCAATGGGAAGACTGGCCATTCCACTGAGACCAGGTTCAGGAACAAGCATTTCTGTGTCCTATAATTCCACTATGGTTTGCCTCTTTTTTCCAATTGCTCCCTTCCTATCTCTGTTCTCACTCCATTCCCCCAATTGGTGGGGCTCACGGTAATGAAGGTAGAGGCAGTAAGCCATCTGAAACATCACGCAACTTCTATGTACAGCAACATCCCTGAAGGGAGTCATCTTCAAAGTTAGAATTTGTTAACTTCATACACTTCTATACTGGTAATGCTGAAGTTGTCTCAAAGTAAGTGTTTGGAAACCAGAAGCAGTAACGCTTGTCAGTAGCACAATCTAATTTCGCAGAATTTCACATCTTTATTCGTGTGTTGATGTGATGGCGTGTCGACCTCATCTCAACTCAAAGGCACACTCCAACTGTGTAATATGTGCATCACAGGATACACGTTGGGCTTGGAAACTAAGCCTCTTTAAAATAAAAAGTTTTCTGGATGTTTTCCATCGTCTAATAAAATCATAAAATTGCACGACATTCCGGACATGGGACTCTATGTTTTGTATATTTTGCACAATACAATGTTGAACATTTCTATTCATTTTTGAGAATTCTTAGGGTTAAATAATTCAAGGTTGATTTTTCCCATACACACCTTCACACTAGTGTAAACTGTCAAAGTTGAACATTTCTGGATGCGTAGTTTGATAACATCCCATCATTATACACATGCACACATGTATTTATGCCCATGCATGCTCATATACATATATAGAAAGATCCAATACAGTTGGTACATCATCTGAACGGCTATGACACATTGAATGAGGAAGATAAGCAAAAATGCAGCATTATAACCGCAGCACTGTAAAACAAAAAGGAAAGGCATAAAATACAATTATATTTATGAAGTTACATCAATATCATCTCAATAGAATCTGGTAACAACTTTATAAACCAGTATCAATTAGAAATAATACCAAAATTGCAGAATAACAAAGTTAGATATGCACTTACCCTGTCAAACGTCATGCTGGATTGGAATATGGTGTTGTTGAAACAGGTGTATTTGTCAATTTTCTTAAACATTTTGCTTACGAGCTCACTAGTTGCAAGGCTGTAAATTGATATATACCAATCAATGGAGTCAAAGTTCGCAAACTTCTCCTCAGCAATAAGTTGAAATAATTGAGGTCCAATAACCATATGGTTATAGATTCTGAAGAATATAATAGTATAGGCGTACTGAGGAAGAAAGAACAGAAGCACAGAATTACAATCACTGAAAGAATTAAGTGCATTTGACGTCATTCAAGCAGAATTGCCCATTGAATAAAAAGAAAATTTTAACAGATAGTCTGTAGGTTATTTAATTATTTAACTTATTGAAATGCATGAGTTACTGAATAATGAACAGGATGAGAAGAAACTAGGGAGGAAGCAGCATATTATTTATTCTAAGTTTAATAAGTGACTAACTAACTAACTAACTAGATGGCTTACGGAACCTGAAGGTTCATCACCAAATTAACCAAAGCCCTCCACATGTCCCTGTCCTGAGACAACAAAATCGAGTTTCCTTCAACTCCTATATCCCTTAGATCCCGCCTGACATTATCCTCCCATCTTCGTCTAGGTCTCCCCAGTGGTCTCTTCCCCTCAGACTACCCGATAAATACCCAGTGCATACCTCTTGCCGCATCCATGCATGCTACATGCCCCATCCATCTCATTTTTCTTGACCTAATCACCTTGACAATACTGGGAAAGGATTACAAATTTTTAAGTTCATCTTATGCAGTTTACTCCATGCCTCATCGTCCTCTCTCCTAGGCACAAATATCCTCCTC